GGCTTTATACAAGATATAAAATTATTAAAACATCTTTAATAGACCCCTCTCCATTATCGATTCATTAATATATAGTTCAGTATATAAACTAACCAAGGTTAAGATTTATTAAAAAAATAAAGGAAAAAAAAGGAAAACAAACCAAGGTTAAGATTCAATTAATTTCAGCCCTAAACATAACAATGGTTGAGTTAGTCTCTTTTAAATCAAATCCTACTGTAAAATGTGTTGTTAGGTTTAATGATTGAATGGTTAATATTTTTGATTACTAGGACATATCGATCAAATTAAATTATAATAGCAAACCAAATTTGACTAAATGCATTTAGCAGCCAATAAGGTTCACTGGTAGCGACAGAAAACATATTCAAATGAGAGAGTGGCGGTGCATGGTTAAAGCGCTCTGTGCAACTTTTACCAATTGGCAAATGTTCACTGTTTGGCGTGTATTTATTATATTTTTTTGTTATTAAAATTTATAAAAATAAAATTTATTTTTAACACTAATATTATAGATATCGATTTAATTGTATGGTTGATAAACTTAAATTAGTTTTTATTTTTTTTATATAAATTAATGATGAAAGTGTGTTATAATTAAATTTACCTTCAATTTATATCTTTAGGCCACATATTAAAAATTTTCTTTTTAGAATAATTTCATGTCTGCGAGATTTAAAAAAAAAAAGAATTTTTTTACTCTATATACTAATGACATATGTTAAAGGTGTGTATATTATACCTTTTAATTATTAATTTGTATAAAAAACAAAAGTTAACTTTACTTTTATCAATTATCTAATTAAAATATTTTATGTGGCATTAGTATTTAAAATAAAATTTATTTTTATAATTTTTCACATAAATTAATAATAAAAGTATATAATAAATGCACTCTTATCAATACACTAACAACAAGTGCTATAAAAACCCAAAAAAGAACTTCATGATTGTTTTTCTTTGGTTCTACCTTTTCTGATGTCCTATTATTTAGTGTTATGTTACAGTGGACTGTATTTGTAATCGAATCAAATAACTTAAACCTTTGTTTCTTTCTATATATGCAGCAGCTTCCAGTGAGGAACCCCAAACACACTGGCTTTTGCTAATCAACATCTTTGTTCTGCGTTCTTCAGTTCGAGTTGCCCAACTTCTAATTCTTCACTTCCTCTCCCTTTCAAACTCTTCATCTTAATTTCCACTATAAACACTCTCCTTTTCTTTTTCTTTCAGATATATACATTTTCTTCCTTGTTAAATTTTCTTGTTCCCTCTTCAAAAAAAAAAAAAAAAAAAAAAAAAAGGAAAAAAGAAAGAAAAAAGAAAGTACTCTTGTTCAAACGCATCTCCACCCGCATTCAGTTCTAAGTTAGCGTCCAGAAGTAAAGCTCAAGCTAAAAGCTAAGGTATGTCTATAGTTAATTTTAATTATATTAATTTCTATTTTTGTTTATTTACTTTAGCATAATAGCTCAGAGCTTCAAAATTCTCGTGAATATATATTTTTGTTTAATTTTTAATGATAGTGCATTTTTTTTATGGTTACAAAATTTATTTTAATTAAAATAAAAATATTACAAGCAAATCTTGATGATAAGAATAAGAAATTAAACCTTTATCACAAATAATAAAAGATTTTGTCCATAGTAAATACATATGAACAATTAGTTTTATAAAAGATGTTAAGTATTACTTAGAGATTGCTAATGCAATTGTCATTATTGGGGCAAAATAGAATTATGAAAATAGAAAAAATCACCATATGGAGTTGTTCTAAGCAAATAGTTTAAGCTATTCATGGCAATCACATTCGTTACGCCAACTTTAGGGTAGAGTGAAAAGTGACAAGATAACAACACCCATTTTGGGGGCCTCTGTAGTGTAATGTTTAAAATTTAATAGATGATAGGTAGCGATAGTAGGTGGCCATAGACAGATAGTGAGTTACGGGATAGTGAATGATAGATAGTGAAAAATAAGTAATAGATAATAAATAGTAAATTTTGATTAATATAATTATTTAATTATATAATAATTAGTTGTTATTGTTTAACATTAAAT